AGCTCAAGGTCGCTCAGCGAGCTATTGAGAGGGCTATGCTCGGAGTTTCTCTGCGTGATAAACTTAGGAATGAGGATATCCGCAGTAGAACTAGAGTGACCGACATAGCCCAACGGATTAGTAAGCTGAAGTGGCAGTGGGCCGGCCATATAGCTCGAAGAACCGACAACCGATGGGGAAGAAAGGTTCTCGAGTGGCAGCCTCGTACCGGTAGGCGAAGTGTAGGGCGTCCCCCCACGAGATGGAGTGACGACCTGGTAAGACATGCAGGAAGTCGATGGATGCAGGTGGCTCAGGACCGTGCTTTGTGGCATTCTTTGGGGGAGGCCTATGTTCAGCAGTGGACTTGTGAAGAGATGTAATGATGATGAAATAAGTTGGTATTGTCGTAACGCGCATGCTTTGGGACGGTTGATTGTATCAGGGCAGTAAGCACTTACGCACAGCTCTTTACTATGAACGAGACGGAGAGGGGGAAATAATATTTTTTTTGAAAAAAAACTTAGATAGTGGAGAAAGAATTAGGATATTTTTATAAATGATGTGAAGGTGAAAGTGCATGCTTGGGATTTGGGGGATGATAGTTAACTAGCTTATTTTATAATAATTTTATATAAACATGATTTTTAAGGTTCTGTACTCCAGAAAGAAAAAACGGAACCCTTATAGGATCACTTTGTTGTCCCTCTGTCTGTCTGTCAAGACCCTTTTTCTCAGGAACGCGTGGAGGTATCAAGCTGAAATTCATACAAAATAATCAATCTACTGTCAGTGTAAGTTTTTATTATTTTCGCGAATGAGGTGCTAAAACTTCTCAATGACCTTGAAAAACTTTAACCCTTAATAAAAAAGTTTCTAACGCTGACCAATTAATAAGATTAACTGACATTTTATGACCAATTTCTGACCTTTCAGGTGGTATCGGGCCCAAATGGCCACATGGAAGAATTCCTATCATACTAAACTATATGGGAGAATGCTAGGAAAATATAGTTGAAAAGGACATGGGTTACTCGGCTTCCTTCGAAGGACCAATTAAAAAGGGAACGCGCTTCTTAATCTGGCTGCGAAGGAGCAATTGAAAAGGACAGAGCTAAATCCTGCCTAAGCCGTCTTCTTTATCCAATCCGGCACTCGAAGAACCAATTAAAAGGGAACGAGGGCTGGTCAGGATCTTTGTCACGGCTCGTTCAACAGCAGACTTCGCTACTTCCTAAGACACCTACGTTGGGTTCGGGAACAACGTATGTGAACCCCGCAACGGAGTAACACACAAGGGCGTCGACGTCTTCCTTTTCTTCAAATAGGTTCAGGCGTGGATTACGGGTCTTCCGAGGTCGTCCCGGTCCCAACGCCTTAATTCTTCAATATGTGCCGCTCCGGTGACACCAGAAGGACTGTACTTATTTTTAAAGGTGAAGGATCCCTTGGGAATACAACAGTAATTATCTTCAAACCGCTCCGTGAGAGAGTAATTACTTTCCCTATCACTTCCCTATATGCTTCTCTTTCTTGATTATATTATATACTGGTAGCTGGTCTCGAACGATTTGCATGAAAATCAGTCTAACGGGGTATCAAAATGTCTATATTCGAAAGAGAGCCGCGCCCTTTGTACTATTTCGCAACTCAATTACATCAAATTTGTACTATCACTCCCTCACGGTTTGCCCAATATCTTTATTTATATAAGACATACATTTATACATTTTATTTATAAAGATAGCACAAAAAATATCTATACTTCGATATACATTACATTTTCATATCACAAAAAACCTTTTATTTATTCAACAAAATATGCCTATTTTAAAACATATGCACTAAGTTAGAATTCTTAAATATATAACATATAACGTTGAAACAATGTTCTTTATTTGAAAATACAAATATCTCAACTAATACAATAGTTTAATTTACATTTTTTGAAAATAATATTAAAATTAAGAAAATATTTTATGAACCAAACATTGAAAATAGATATTTTACTTTCGTACAAAACGTATCAAACTTATATAAGACAATGCTTATGCAATTATTTTACATTAATTCCACTTATTCACAAAGTGATCATTTCGACCGGGGAACAAATCCTGGTCTTTAAGTTTATTTTAATACTTCTTTAAATTATCAATATTATTGGAAAGGTGGTCTCAACCGGGGAACTGAACCTGGAGACATAACTTATATCTTAAAAATTTCCTTTATGAATTTATTAAGAAAATATTACTAAGAAAACGACGAACTAGTCCGGCCTGGGAGTCGAGCCCAAGACTTTCAAATTATTAATTCGACATTTCTTTAAGATTCAACTAAACGTTTTCTTATTAGAATATTATGACTTGAAATTTTCGCTTTTGTAAGCTATTCGTAATCGGTTAACTAATAAATTGAAATGTTTTTATAGACGCGTCGCTTACAATAGTACTTATCAGTTTCCGACTCTAAGATCGCACCAAGGCTCGGTCAGGCCGTAAGTGGGTGTAAGGTGAATGGCAAGTAATGTTCAGTGATGTGTAAATGTCTGAGACCTGGAGATGCTTAGGCGACCAGCAGCGGACGAGTTTCTGGCTGCCCCACAATGCTGCATCGCTCCAGCAGTCTCCACCGCTGGACCATTTCTTTCTTCATTGTCACTCTTTCAGTCTATTAGCTTCATTGTACATTTAACTAACTTGAACTCGCCTAATTCCACATTCATCGTAGAATCGAACATGCGATACCCGACACAGTACGAAAAGTAGTTCAAAATTCGACATTCAATGTCCCGGATTCACTTATCACAAAATTATAAATAGGGAACTAACGCGATCTCTTAATGAGTCATACGGTTCAGCGTTAAACACAACTAAGTTCCTTCATTCGACACCAAAACACCACGCCGCGAAAAGAATTCAAAATACGCCTCGTTGACCCGTAAAACTAACAAACCAGCCAACACACAAAAAAGGCACTTAACGCGACGGCACAATTATAATGATTTCTAGACAATCAACCGGGAGACGCTGTCGAACAAGGAATGCGCGGTTCGAATCCTAGACCGTATATCTACTCGGCGCGCTCGTGCGTAATTCCGCATCACCCGAACAAGTTAAATATTGCTAAATTCACATATCCACGGAGCGAAGTAACACGCACTAAATCTAACCACCCACCAATCTAACCCTACCGGTCACGTGAACTTCGGCCGCGATAACCGAGATACGCGGATTCACCGCATCGCGGCCCGCGAGCTACTCATCTTCTTCGCCCACGCGTCGAGCCACTGCAAGCCGCACACGGCCGCCCCACCTCGGAGTTTTCTCACCTACAATCCATCGGGTGACGCACCAGCTCTAACGCGATTGGATAGCTTTCAAAATGACCAGTTTTGGGCATAAACAAATTGAATAAAACATTTATTCCTTAAACATTCTCCAGTAATAATAAAAAATAGTCGCAAGGCGTTTAAGGAGTGAACGACAATAGGAATTCATAAGAGCAGACAAAGAGCAGACAATGAGACTATCGATTAAAAATTAATAATGAGTTGGCTACATCAACGCAAAAAGTCGCAGCGGTGTTTGAGAAATATTTCACTTTTATTCCTATTTTGATAACAGTATCATTGAATACTTTTCCAACTTTCGCCGAGTCATTACTCAAACAGAATGTTAATAGCTGTTTAAAAGAATTTAGTTTTGAAAAAGTATTTTCACAAGATATTGTAAAACATTTCGAAACCCTTGATGTAATGAAAACAGCAGATTCATGGAGGATTTTCGTTACAGTTTTTGCGTCCATAATATATTCAATTGCACTTCGTCTTGTTATTATTTTTAATATTAGTATCGAATTTGGTTAAACATAGTAAATTAATACCTTTATTTAAATTAGGTAGTACGTTAGAACCCGCTAATTACCTAAGACCTATTTCTGTGCTACCAAAAAATGATAAAAATAATTGTAGATCAATTGTAATTTTTTATATTAAAAATAAATAACTCCATAAAAATAAATTTGTTTTCACAATGGGTCAGTCGACGACTGACTCAGGTGTTGAGCTTATGTAATATACTTACAATACATGGGAGAATTCACAAGATGCCTTAGGTATATTTTGTGACCTTTCTAAGGCTTTGGTTGTATTAACGCTGTGATGTTCACTAATTTAAGTATAGGGTTTACTAAAACAACCAACTATCAGTAAGTAGGTACACAGCACAAGACAACGTCCACTCGCTACCGATGACAGATCGGCAATGCGAGTGTGGCGCCACCGTTGGTCTGTGTACTACATTTAATTATACATATATCACATCTCTTCCTTTTTATTTATTAATTAATTTTATTACTACAATATACAAACAGAACAATGTTTTATAATTTAATCAATTATCAATCTGAACTTCTTTATCCTGATCAACAACTTTCCATTGACCTTCCACTTTCTTAAGGTGTACGATATTCCTCCTGTACTCCTGACCAGTTTCATCATTTTTTATGTTTATGTCACTGCCTTCGGAGCTAATAACAGTATGGGGGGTTGGGTTAAATTCTGAAACTAATTTATTTTCTTTTATTAAGTTCTTCACGTACACTTTATCTCCTATTTCTATCAACTATTTTCCCTATCAACAGCTCTTCTTTTCCTGTCTTCGTTTAATTTGCTTTTATCTTTTCTTTCTATGTCTCGGTCTCTTATTTCTTGATCATCGTAACTATTTTCGAGGTCCGTTAAAAAAGGTAGTTTGTCTCTGAATTGTCTTCCATAGAACAGCTCGGATGGAGACTTTCCTGTGGAAGGGTGAGGAGTACTGTTATACATCATTAGGTATTTTAACAAATCATCTTTCCAGTCTGATTTTTCGCACTGACTTATTCGCAGTCGTTTAAGGATATCCCTGTTTTGCCTCTCTACTTCACCATTTTGCTGAGGCCAGTAAGGGATCGTATTAAAAAGCGTTATTCCTTGTTCAGTACAAAATGTTTTGAATTCCTGACTACAGAATTGTCTACCATTATCGGCTGTTATACTTGCAGGATTTCCGGCTCGTGAAAAAATTTTTTTCAATACTTTTATTGTGTCTTGTTGAAATAGATTTCATGATTTCGATCTCTTTATACCGACTGTAATAGTCAATAATCACTAAAAGATGATCTCCGCTTGGCAGTGGACCCAAAAAATCAACGGCTGTATCCACCCAGGCTTTTGAAGGGAGTTCACGCCTTTTCATAGGTACTGGTGGATTGGGTGCCGAGACTAAAGTACACCCTCTGCAGCTTTTCACGGTATTTTCAGCGTCTTTGTCTATTTTTGGCCACCAAACTTTTGTGCGCAGCCTAGCTTTCATATTGACTATACTTGGATGACCTTCATGGGCCGCTGCTAACACTTGTTTCCTCAACTTAGTAGGAATCACCATTTTGTTTCCTCTCAACAAGACGCCATCGTGTAACCAGAGTTCATGTTGAAATAATTTATAATTATTTATTGAAGCATCCCAAGCATTGTTCATCAAAGCATCTTTTACTAATTTAAACTCATCATCGTCATTTGATGCTTCAATAATCGATTTAAGATATAATGCTATGGGTCGCGCGTGTTGAACAATCTGGTTAACATGATGCTCGTCTTCAAAAGAACTGTTTTGAATGCTGGTCGTACATAAACGTGATAATGGGTCTGCTATGTTGGATTTTCCGGGCTTATAAATAACTTTATAATCATATGCTTGTAACCGAAGGACCCAGCGCTCGATTCGTGCACAAGGCTTTGATCGCGTACCAAATATAACCTCCAGAGGTTTATGGTCTGTGATAAGCTCAAACTTTTTCCCGTATAAGTACATGTGGAAGTGTTCAATTGCCCACACTAAAGCCAATGCCTCCTTTTCGGTCTGACAGTATCGTTTCTCAATGTCTGTCAGGCTCTTGTTTCCGAAGGCAATGATGCGGGGTCCATTGTCATCATACTGAATCAGTACAGCGCTTAAACCTACCGGACTTGCATCGGCGATTACTTGGGACCGATCATTTGGGTCATAGTAGCCAAGAGTAGGAATCTTGGAGAGACAATTTTTTAATTCGTCAAACGCCGTTGAATGTTCTTTTTTCCAAAAAGTTATGATATTAGCATTTTTGTGCATTTTTTTTCGAAGCAATTGCCGAATGGGTTCCGTTAAGGTTGACAAATTGGGGATCCACTTTCCTACATAGTTGATTAAGCCCAGAAAACTTTGAATTTCTTCGATGGTTTCCGGTGGTCTAAACGTCTCGATTGCTTTTATATATTTGTCAAGTGGTTTAATACCTGATTGCGAAAGCTCGTGGCCCAGAAACTGAATAGAGTTTGCATTAAAAATACATTTATTTTTATTCAGTAAAACATTATTGTCTTTGAGTACTGTTAAAACATGTTGAAGCCTGGTATCATGTTCTTTTTTATCACGTCCAAAGACAACAATATCATCTATGAAGTTTACCACTCCTTCGCATGGCAATAACATTTTCTCCATAATTTTTTGGAAATGTTCAGGTGCGCAAGATATCCCGAACATTAACCTTTTGTACCGGTAAAGCCCTTTACTAGTGATAAAAGTTGTGATATTTCTGCTATTTTTATCTAGTTCAACCTGATGAAAAGCATTTTTAATATCCAACTTTGAAAAATATGTTGCTTTGCAAAATTTGGGAATAAGTTGTTCCATGGTAGGCAAGGGATGATTTTCTCTAATAATTGCTTTGTTAGCAGCACGCATATCCAAACAAATTCGAATATCATCATCAGACTTTAGAATCGGTACCATCGGAGAAACCCAAGAAGATGGGTTATTTACAGGTTCAATGATGTCCATTTTAACCAGTTCGTCTATTTTCTTATTTATCCTTAATTCCAAAGGAATTGGGATTCGTCTATAAGGTTGACAAACTGGAGGAACAGTTTTGTCAATAGTGATGTTTAATTGAACATCTTTGAACTTGGGAAATTGTTTTTCCTCAATGGAATTCACGACAAAGCCTAGTTTCAGCACATCAAGAGAAATGGCGGTTTCTTTACCCAAAAGATTCCTTGAACCATTTTCTATGACATAAAATTTTGTTAATAATGATTTAGGACCAACTTTTATTTGTGCATCAAATGAGCCTAACACTTTAAGGGGATTTTTGGCACCATAAGCCAGGAACGTTTTATCTGAAGACTTTTGTTGGTTGGAAACTATAACTTTAGATCGTTTCATGTATACCCAAGTTTTATCATTAATAATATTTGATCTACTACCGGAATCAATGAGCATTTTTATATTTACACCACCTACCTGACAATCTATTGTTGCGTCGTCGTCGATATGGAAAATATAGTCTACAGATGCAGACTCTCTATTTTTTGTGGTTTCTGTCTTGGGTTTCTTAACTTTATGGTTTTCATTTGACGAGAGGTTGGTACTTTTTCTTTTATTGGCCCTTGTTCTACAGTGTTTCTGAAAATGACCTTTGAACCCACATTTCATACAATTCACATTTATAGCAGGGCAGGAACTATTGTCATTTTTGTGACTTTTACTGCCACATCGGCTACAGAAATTAACCTCTTTTTTAGAATATAGTTTTGTTGTTTTAGTGTCAATTTTGTTTAGGGTGGTAGTTGTTGTGCTCTGTCTATCGTGAAACTCGTTTAGCTGCCGTTCTACGGTTTCTAGGGAATTTGCTTCTGCCACGATTTTTTCAATGGTTGCCGTGTCACCAAGTACCAAAATGTTCTTCCTTAATTTGTTCGAGCTACACTTTTCTATTATTTGGTCAATAAGATTTTCGTCTGCATTAGCGAAATTGCATTTAGAACTTTGACGTCTTAGACGAACCAAGAATTTTTCAAACTTCTCGTTTGGTTCTTGTTTCATTAACCGAAAAATGTGCCTTTCAAATAAATAACTTTGTTTGGGGGAAAAATACTCGTCCAACTTTTTAATTGCTGTGTCATATACGTTAGTCGCATCAGGATTAGTCACGTGGGCACCAGGTATATTGAAATAAATGTCTTGTAACGCCATGCCTCCGAAATGTAGTAGCATGGCGCGTTTTGTAATTTGAGCATTGGTATTGGTTGCTACGAAGTATATTTCTAGGGCACGTTTCCATTTGTCCCACCGGAAACTTATGGAGGTTGGATCGCCTTCACAATCGAATGGTTCTATTGCTGGGACTTGTGATTGGAACATTTTTGTACGATCTGTAAATAAGTAAGGGAGGGGACTTGTAAGCATACCAATGTAGTAAAAGAATTCCTAGATCGATTTTTTTTAAGTAGCGTAAAATAAATGGTTAATATTAAAATTATCAATATTCATATTGAATAAATATTATTGGCTTTAGCAAAAGAATAAGCCATTTTATTAAGAAGTATAAGCCATTTTATTTTTAGTTGAGATTGACTGTAACCAGCATTTAATATTTTGTGACTAGCAACATCGATACAGCAATAGGGTCCACACTATGCACTAGCTTGCTACATATTTATTATTCTGTGATCCGTACCGTGAAAGCTAACCGTAGAGATTATATACTCCTCGGTGAACGCAATCTCATATCATGTACATAAACAAGCATATTAGTCTGCGACATAGATTACTGTATAGTCTGTTTCAATAGATTACTGTATGGTCTGTGACGACTATAGATGCACACATTGATATTTGGTAAGTACTCACTACACTATCTGACTTGATATTATTACAAACAAACAGTCGTGACACAAAATATTATATTAATATGATGTGCAGCGATATTAACAAATAATAAAACTAACTAAAGAAGATATATAAATGTTTGTTTTATAACGATATACAGTGCAAAATACATTCACTTTGTCCTATTTTTTTTTTCATTATATTACTTATCCATACGGATTTGACACTTGTTTAGTTTTAACAGTAACTGGAACATAACTCCCAATTTATTGAAGTGGTACTATGTTAAACTGGTAACACGATTCGTTACACTGTTTGGTTATTTTAACAAAATATTTTTCGATAGGAATCATTAGCAAACAGATTTGGTCAACAATACTTGTATTATAATCATAGTTGAGTACTTTGGAAACACTATTTAGATATACAATAAGGATATTAATTTACTTTTGTCGAAATAAGACTCGAAATGAAATGCCGTAACCCCTTTCGTTACACTAAATAAATGACGAAATGACTTCGATGAGATTTAAACAACACATTCCTGGTCAATCGCCACCAAAGTGGCACGGTAACGGCACAATAAACGATGAACTATTTAATTTTGAATAAACAAGTAATATAAATACTCAATAGTAATATAATTTCAAAGTATCCATCACTTATTTCTTTTCTATTTTTTGAAAAAATGTATGTAAAAAAATAAATGTACTGTTTTAATTTTGTTGCTGACCAATATCCGTAAACTGGTTTAAAATTTTACCGAAAATTTTACTTACTACGCTTTTACTCGTCGCCAATGTGATGTTCACTAATTTAAGTATAGGGTTTTACTAAAACAACCAACTATCAGTAAGTAGGTACACAGCACAAGACAACGTCCACTCGCTACCGATGACAGATCGGCAATGCGAGTGTGGCGCCACCGTTGGTCTGTGTACTACATTTAATTATACATATATCACAAACGCAATAACTCATTGCTAAGCCATCCACTGCGTCACGGAGCTGTCAAATAATTAATATTACCCGACTTCAAAAATAAGGAATCTCTCAATTCGAATGTTTGTTTTTATATGTATGTCACGCGCTATCTTCGTCAAAAGTAAATTTTATTAAATAGGTTATACTACAGAAGTTGCTCCCAATTTGGAAAATACTCCTAAGGGGAGCATAATAGGTAATGAAGTTCTTAAAGTAAAGTAAACTATTAATACCACATTGAGATTTCGCCATCCCTTAGTTCAATCAAACTGGATAAAGTAACTTTTAATAAAAAGTAAAACCTACTAAGAGAACTAATAAGAATAAATTAATAATATTGTAAACATTATGTAATAAAAACCCTGTGGTTCCCGTTAAGTTCGTTATCAGGATCAGTATTCAAACCTTTAGAAATAACCTTAACTTTTTTTTTTTATTATATGTGGTTTTATTACCTCTTACTATCACTAGTCGATGCTAAAGCGAAGTAAAGCGGGGTCTTTGACAATCCTCTTACTCTCCAGATAATGCAGAGGTAATAAAACCACATATAATTTGCATAGAATTATTTTTTTAATAAAATAAAAAAAATTTTTGGAGTTGTGAAAAAAAAGTTATTTCTATACGTTTGAATAATGATCCTGATAACGTACTTAACGGGAACCACAGGGTTTTTGTTACATATTGTATAATAAGAATAAAATAATTTCTCATTCTGATTTCGGGACTTTAATTCTTGTAAACACTGTGTCTTAGCATCGACTTCAGAATGTGAAATTATTTATGCTTTTTAGTTTGTTTGTCATCAAGTCAAGCTTATTAATATTTTACTTTTTACTAAAAGTATTTTTGTATGAGTTCCATATAAATACGGGATCTATATATTTGAACAACATAACATATTAACTTATCATTATTATGCCATAAGTTTCTTAATCATTCGTTTGATTTAACGTTATGTTTTAGACATACTTCAAACAATTCCCATTTCATTTTAAATTCCAACAATCCGATTAGCTATTAAATCTAATTTGTTAGTGAAAGAGTGAAGTTCACTTATAATTAACAAGAATTAGTTCATTTCTCGTCAGCTAGGAAAAGCGTTTGCATGCACTAATTGGGTAGCTGCACTTAATAACAAGATTATTCATTAAAATGGGAATTGTCATCACCTCTGAACTCATTTTAGTTAATACTTTGTTAGTAAAGTCATTTATCTAAAGACATTGTTAATTGTAAAGTACTGAATAATTTTAGAGCAAAAATTTCGTAAGCCACATAGTAAAACTGCTGTAATACAGTTTAGTCTGAAATATAATTTCTAATCTATCTAATTCTAGTTGCAGTCAACATTACAGCCCATTACAAGTCTACTGCTGGACACAAGCCTTCCCAAAGAAATGCCACAAAAAATCCGTCGACATACAGGAAGCACCAATTCACTGACACCGGATCGTCACTCCCTCTAGTGGAAAATACTTATTTTTGACAAAACTTGAAATAACCTTCAATCGATTAATATCAATAGCTTCTTGATATGTTTCATTTTTGTCTGTCTCTTGTCTTTGCATGGAGGTCATTGTCATATGAGCCTCGTTTGTTAAACTAATAGCACGATGGTTGACATTTTTGGAGAATTATATTTTTACGCAGGTATATGTGTATTTATATTTTATTCAATGAGAAATTTTATATAGTTCTTGTTTAAGTTCTGCAAAATGGATCGTAAACTAGATAGAAGTTTAACGACTGAATTAGTAATATATTGAAATCGGGTTAAATTAAGAAGAACCCTAACCGACGAGCCTATATGCGTTATGTGGATGTGAAAGAAGCAAGAGAGGTGTGTCAGGATCGTGCCAATTAGAAGTTTGTATATCTCTTTGGATGGCAGGCGTGAGAGATTATGTAAGTATGTACGTAAGTAAGAACAGCTACACTAGCTTGAGACTATTGGTTGTGCGCCCACCAACACAAATGGCAAATCTTTCAAATCTTAATTTGGGTGTTTCAAAAAATTGTTATATCGTTGTTTATCGGACGTAATAAGATATTTTGGCATTTTCAATTCATGATTTCATAGTCCTTTCTAGGCCGGTATTCGGAGACAATTTTTCAACTCAATCTCTATTTTGTCAAAATTTATGTAAATAGTATGGACTAGACTCAAATTTAGATATTGTGAAGTTTAAATTTACATTTGAAATTGTCTTTGAATACCGTCTGTGTTTACCCATATCGTCCGTCCTCTTTACACATACCGTCTAAAATCTTTTAGGACATCCCGGGACGTTAATTTTTAAATATGTGTTATAATTTACAAACTTAGTTGCATCGCATTAAAAATATAAAAGTATTTTCGTTTATGCAAGCAACGTAATCTCGGTTCCACCATTGTCGTTACAATCGAGTAAGCTAAGGCTTACTGAACGCGTAAACTATTCTTATCTGGCCGGAACGGTGGCCTCTGACCCGGGGAACTACGCAGATTAACGCTATAACGGGTCTTACAGTTTACTGATAGTTAACTTTCGTTTATCACCGCCTTTATTTTTAGATTTTAAATAATAAATGCATTTAGCATTCATTTACAATTTTAAAAACTATTGTCATTTTAAGTCGGGTCTAAAAAATTAAAAATATTTGTTTTTAAATAATAAATAGCAATATTTAAAACACTGGCAGTGTGTTTTTCGCGTAAGAATCTACGTGGTAGAGCCATGCTGCAGTTATATTATGGTTGTAGCACGAATGGGTCGGCTCGACCGGGGAAGGACCTCGCTCTCACAGAATACCAGCGTAAAATAGTAGCTTAACGCTGCTGTGTTTCGTATGGTGAGTGTAGAGAACCGGAGACCCTTTTTACTGGAAACGAGGCATTCCATCTTAGTCCTCATGGGTGACAACGCATCTGCATTTTGATTCTTAATCGAAGATAGATGTAGATGTCTATGGGCCACAGCAACCACTTACCATCAGGTGGACTGTGTGCTCGTTTGTCACCATTATCCTACAAAAAAAAAATTCATCAAACTATTTCATCCTAAGGGTGTCTTATAGTGGCGGCGTAAGTTGTCCGTGCAGTAGAATATCCACTAGCTTATATCACCTCGTGGATGTCATAAGAGGCGACAGAATAGAATATGATAGAATAGAATAGAATGATTTTTTTTACTGATTCTAACTCGAAAAATATCTCTGTCCTGGGATAAACCAGCAAGAAACCTAGCGGAATTTTTTTTTAAACATATTTCATTTTATAATAATTTTCTTTGTACAATTTTTAAATGAATTTTCATAGAACAGCACGGTGGCGGTCACCTCATTCCCAGGGGTTATTTTCATTCATGTATTCCTTGATATTATAATATATAATTTTTATTTAATACAACTTTTAAGTTTGTTTATTGACAAACTTAAACTCAAAGGGAAACAAATAAGGAGATGGGCTAATAGTCTTCCTAATAACGACTAAAAATTAAAAGCTGCGGTTGCCAACCCGCTTGCCAAGCATGGCAAAATTGGCAAATATGAGGCAATCTATGTGG